ATGCTTTACTGAAATCAAGATAGACCACAGCACTGTAATGCCCTTTAAATATTTTGTATTCTTCATCAGGTCATGTATATTAAACATATATGCATCTGTGGAAATGCAATTAAATGTAACTTAATTATTGCTCATATACAAAAAAAATGGAGGATAAAAAGAGGCTTGGGGGCAGGGAGCGACAGCAGTTTAAAAACAGAACAGAAAACTGTCCCCTGAGTAAATATGCCAAATGGACTCCATAGCAACTGAAAATCCCTTAAGAGACACTTTCATAGAGTCTAACATAGCAGTCCCTTTTGCAGTCAGGTACTCTTTCTTCATGGCATCATGGAAACAGCAACAAAATGTGATGCTGCTGAATCATTATCATTATAAAGGTACAGGTACTTCCCCCAAGGCTTTGGTAGTGTCTTCCAGGGAGTGTAGGATGAAATGTCCTTGCATGCTGCAAAGTCCCTGGGGGGGAGGTCTGCCTTATTGCCCAAAGTGATCCCAGCTGGAAAACAAAGATATAATAACAACTTCTAATAACAAAGCTACAGTAATTTTTGCTATAGCCTGGCCAAAATGAGAGCCTGGCACTCCCAGCATGCCCTTGCTCTTACAGCAGCAGCAGAGGATATGGTGTGTCTTGCTGGCAAGCTGTGAAACAGAGCAGCAGTTTAACCAAATCCTCCCTAACCAGTAGAAGCAAGTATTTCAAAAGCCCTTTCTCCAACATGCCTTCATATTTTAAAAAGGAGCCTATTTTTACTCTGCAGTATTGTCCTTGTAAGCCAAATTCAAGAATTCCTGGAGGATTGGCATCTTTGCGTGGGGTAGTTTTCACAGGTTTCAGTGGTTTGCACCAGCAGATATTCTTGCTTCTAATGGTATTTCTGGTCTTTACCATGCTAATTGCAAGGTCCTATAGAGGAAACTGGGAATAATAAATAATAATCTCCTAGGGCAAGTTCTCAAATGACATCAAAATGTAAACAAAAGTTACATACAATCTTGAGTAACCAGAAATATTTACCTTTTCAGTTGCTATAACAATTAAAACAACATGAGCTTGTCCTTTTAAATCTCTACATTATTTTTTTGAACAGACAGACTATAAAATGTACGTAGTCTAGAAAGGATAACAACACTTTATGGAAAACCTCTCAATGATTAGTGTATTCTCTTGAAAGCAGAGTAAAAGGATGTTACAAAATGCAGAGAGGATTTGTCTGACAGTTCATGATGTGAATACAGTAAGCACAATGTACTTAAGCTGGCATGGTGAGAGTCATACAGCATTTACAGCATGTCCACCCTCTAGCATGTGTCTCATCAAAGAGTGCAAGAAAAAACAGGAAAATAGTCTAGAAAAATGGGGTAGTAGAAGGACTCTTTAGAAAAAATTACATTCATAAATCCAGTCTAACATTCTTGGCAGAGTGCTTAATGCATGCAGCTCTAGAGGTCTGTAAATGTACAATGCACAGGTACTGCTTCCACAGTGATTTCCAAGGTATCCACTCCAGTGCTTTTTGCTCCCTGCGCAACCACCTTTACTGACTTCTTACTGCCCTGTCTCACTTTTGCTTGGAAGTTGCTCTCCAAGGACATTGTTTCTTGAGGAGAGCATTCCACAGCGCTTAGCCTCTCTCTCCTGGCAGCATTTTGGATAGCTTTGAAAGCATTTGAAAGTACCACTGCACTTTTCACAGGGGAAATAAGAACATTCTTCCACAACTGGCAGAGAATTACAGCTAGATTAATTTTTACCCTTCCATGCTCTCAGGCTGGTGTTCAAAGTTGATCTGCAGTTCTGCAGTGCCTTGACACAAAAATAATTCCTGATGCATAACTGTTGAAGAACTATGAAATCTTTGGCGATGGTGTTTCAGAAACTGGGCTTCAGGAGGAGATAGATAACTGGATTATAGAGTGTGGAGGACTTCGCAAAGACAGCTGGCACAGCAAAGGCTAATGGAGGAATCTCATCTATTGATCCAAAAGCTGCCCACATGGCAATGATGGCATAAGGGCTCCAGGCAGCAAAAAATCAAATGCACACAGCAACACTCAGCTTGCACAGAAAAAGAGAAAACAGTGAGTTAAAAACCTGCATGCATGAGAAACATAGCCAAAAAAAGTAGTATACGCATAAAATCATCACCTGATTGAACTCCCTTGTTAAAAGTCTTCCCAAGTCTTCCATCTTACCTCCACTGTTCTCCAAATGCATACTTGTCTAGCAACTTAATTCTGTCTGAAACTTCAGAGTTAAAATATATCAGCTCCCACATGTCTCTTCCTCTTCAATAAAGTGCTATGAAAACACTTATTAGATCTAAAAGGAAGGCAACCTAAAGAAAAATATACCATTCTGGTCAAAGCCTTGTCTGGATTGCAAAGCCATTCCTATCTACTGTCTAATTAATGAATAATATTAGTTTTCCTGGCTACAGAATGTCTTCCATAATTTTATTGTTGTTGCTGAACTGGAGCCACACACAGGCATCTGACAGGAGAAAACCAGATTAATCCCAAAAGTGTCAATCAAATTCATTAATTTAAGTTAATTCCTACTGCACAATTGTTTGTCCTAATAAACCCTTTCAAAAAAGCTTTGATAGGTCTTTTTTTTTAAAAACAAGAGTGTGTTTTTATATACATAATCACAGAGATATGCAAAATGCAATAATAAATATCGGATCTGCAATAAACAGAAATCTCAAGAAATATAAAGTAAACTGTAAGCATCAGCATGTATGGGAAGACTAAACTGAGCATTGTTCTAAGCACTGTTTATAACTGAAGTGCACATATTTTTTAAAGACAGAAACAAGAATATTTATGCTCTTGAAGAAGCCTCACAAGTCCATTTTTGTCAAAAGTGTGTGTTTCCAAACGAGGAAGGCAGTAGAGAATCCATTCAATTTAGAGTAGCATTGGATCCAAGGGAACAGAAGAAAATAGATAAGGAAAGTACTTTTGTTTTCAGCTGCTAATTGTGCCACCTGCCTGAGCTGCCCTCTGCAAGTGAGACTACAGAGCTGCCAACTACCTCAGTTAACTGCAAATCCACCGCTTTTCTCAGTGAGGCTCTGGCTATAGATTCGAGGTTGCAAAAATCATGGGGTTTTTTATTCGGAGAGATTACATTGTTGTATTCCGAGTGAGCATGAAAAAGGCCCTGAGCACTAATACCAGAGGAACACACATTAAGATCTTTTAAGGCATAGAGAGCTCCTCCAAATGCTATTATTTTCTCCCCAAGTTTAATAGTCTCACAAATTTTATTTTGCAAGAAGAAACGCATGGTGACTGCCAACAAATATATACCATGAGTTTTATGAGGAATATCTGTGGTATTTAACTGTTTTTTCTATTAGGCTAAAAGATGTTTACAATTTGTGTATGCCTCTAGAAAGCCATCTGCTATAATCATAGTGGCACAAGAGAAATTTCCCATTTATGAGTGATAATCATTTAGAGCTCTAACCTGTTATAGCTCACATATAGTCCAAAGTTAAAGTGGTTTGGCAGAATTGAAAAAAAAGGTATCTTGACAGAATGAGACTAGTTAAGAAATGATGAAGATCCACAAGATGAGGTGAACTTAATTTTTCTATTTTTTTCCATAGCATTCTGTTTCTTTATGTCAGTTGAAGGTCTGTCTCTCTCCATGGATATGCTGGTGCCATATACATGGGGTTTGTAACCCTCAACTGTCCACGGCCAGTATTCAAGACTGAAACTAAAAGCAGTCTCTGTGGCAAGTAATATGCCTTGGCCCTTTAGAATCACATTAATAAGAAAGGCACATTAGAATCATCTGGTGCATTTCCCATATGGCTTGTTTATGGTAGTAATTAATCTTTGGCATTGCAACAGGCTTTACATTGTTTCTGTGAAAAAATATTTGGCACATATTTTCAAGGAGCTCTCAGGCAACTTCCTGAACAGCATCAATACAGTTTCTACAGCAAGAAGGGGATTACTCTTGCATAACTTGAGCTAACCAAAAACTTATATGCTAAGTCTAAACCAGTCTAGGTTCTTTATAAGGTCAAAGGAAAGAGACATATCTTCTGAAAGCAAATGATATAATCCAGAGACGTATGTCTAAAATAGACATGATGGATTGATCTCAGGTCTTTGTGACAATTTTGAGGCTGTACTTAAGGGAACTAACTGGTAGTGGAGTGCAATTAGGCAAAAGAAACCCCCTTTGAAATACTTGAGTATATCAACTGTACATATATGTACATGTTTGTAGAAAGAGACATTGTTATTGTTATTTATATTGCCATGCCACATATTGAGGAGTCTGGAGTTTAGTACAACAGAGCTCAGACAGCTTTTAACACTCTCTGGTAAGAAGTTTCAAGCCAGGTGCTTGATGAAGTACCTCCATCTCCTTAAGTTCGACAAAATGACCAACACATTTCCAAGAAAACAGGTATGCCGAGTGGACTAACTAATGATGCCAGCATGAGATGGCACAGAACATCAAGATTTTCATAAGCACAACAAAAGGGGAGAATTTTAGTGAGACAAATATGGGGCAACTTTGTGAACATTCACCAGAAATTCACTAAAGTGCTTTCGTGGGCAAACAAGAACAGCAGCAGAATTGTATAAGGACAACAAATGGGAAAATATTGCATAGACACATTGTGCCTTCAAAGACACATTCTTGGAGATATGGTGTATTTGTATAACCATATCTTAGCTATATCTGAAATACTACACTGCAAATTGCAGTGGTCAGTTTTCCTAAAATGGTCAGAAAAAGATTATTGAATGCACACTGTTCGAGTGAAACTGAGAGACAATGAAGCATAAGGAGACAGCCATAATGAGGGATTTCAATTACCTGCATATAAACTGATCAAAGATAATAACAGAAAAGTTTTGAAAGCAAAAGGTTGCCTAAAAACGTGTGTGAAACAGTGTGACAGTTCTATAATTCAGGCCTCACTAACCAACTAGAAGTCTGTGAATATGCCAGAAAAAAACTTTACTACTGCAGGTTATTTCCAACGGTGAGTTCATTTTACCCCCAAAACAGTTGTTCAGAATAAGTGATCTGGACATTCATTCTTTTATTTCATTAACTGACAAAAGCCACACATCAGCTACATACACCAAGGAAAACTGTTCAGTAGTGAATATGACTTCCACACTACGAGATGGGTCAGCTACCCCATTTTGTTACATCATCATGTGACTGATTCAATTATCTTTATGTTATACTTGATGGATAGATGTCAGTTCTGTCCTTGGATTTCCTCCTGTGAAGGTGATACCACCTGAGGCAGCAGTCACCTGTGCATTACTGCGGAATGAGACCCACAGAGGACAACAGCCATGCTGGACCATAGCTGAGTCTTTTTATAATTTCACTCTAGACTTGAGCCCAGCTTCTCTCATTAAAGGAAAGAAAAAGTATATCACCTAATTTTAGGCTCAGCCTATAATACATAGCTGCTAAAATTACAGTAGCAGCAAACTGAGCCTGTATAGACCACAAGGAAATCCAGCA